CGGGGCCGGCCCCGCGGCCCCGCGGCCAGCGTCTGACGCCTCACGCCTCGCGTCCCCGAGAAGGCGGCTTCCGCGGTGCTGCTGCCCGTGCCCGTCTCTGCGGGGCCCGCTCCCCGTTTTCCCTTTGTGTTTGGATCCGCAGCGAAACCTGGATCCTGACAGATACTGACGCTTGTGCAGGATTTGGATTATTTTTTCAAGGATGCCTTTGGGTTTTTCTCAGGAAACGTTTACTTTTGGACGGAATATTTGGGGGCTGCAGTTGGTTTTGAGTGGAATTCAACGCGTAGCTGTGGCAGCAGTTTAAACGTGTTGCTAAGTGCAGGATTTCCCCCTAAAACCGTGTTTGCTTTTGTGGGTCGCTTATTCATTGTTCATTCACCAGCAACGTACTGATTATGGGAAGAGAGGTAGAAAACTCAAAAATACAGATCTGGAAGGCGTCTAAGAGCGTTTTCCACAGGCTCGTTGAGCGAGACGCAGAGACCGGCCCCGTGGTCACACGGCCAGGGTCCGAGCCCGGTCCCGGCTCTGCAGTGCAGAGTCACCCCGCTCTCAGGAGCATGCCCCACCAAGGGATCCACACCACCCCGCAGCTGTCACCACCAAGGGGTCCACACCACCCCGCAGCCCAGCCGGACGCCCCACGGCAGCTCAGGTGTGGCCTTCAGTGCTTCAGGGCCATGCTGGGGTGGGGGGGGTCCTGGAGCCGGGCGGTGGGACGGTGGCCTCACTTGCTGCTCGGTGTCTGGGACAGTGCGTCTCACCGCTTGGCGCCTCATCGCTTGTCTGCAGCCGTGAGTAATGACTGCACCTACCTCGTTGCAGTCGAGGGGTGAGTGAGCTAATGCGCGTGAACCTTCGGACTGTGCCTGCGATGTCGAGTCCGAGGCTCTGAACTGTTACTGTTACTGCTCGTTTTTACGAACGCAACCCCTCCCGCCTACCCCCTTCCGAGGTGCCTCCCATCCTCTCGTCCGATCCGACTATGTGAAGAGTGTCCGCTCGTACTGTTCAGAATGTGAGTCGGACCTTAATATCTTTTTAAAGAAATTAGGATAAAACCAGTTCTCTTTTTATTTTGCGAATGCCCCCAAAAGCTCCTCAACGGTTATGATGCTCAGTGTTTTTTAACTTTAGTTATGAAGATGCTCTAGACCTCTGCATTTAATGGGTCTGCTGCATTTAATTTTTTGCCACTTTTGACTGTCAGAAAATTTAAACTCTTAATGATAGTAAAAGTTTTAGTTACCCATCTTCTTGACTACCTGTTAGGTCTTAGAATTAACTGGAATATAGCTTTTTCTGCAAAGAAATGTGATCAAAATAGTATATTGAATGACGAATATATCTTTTTCACCTATGTTTGGGGATTTAGAGAGTTAGGGCAAATATTATAGATGGGAATGTAATCCAGAGTGTTCACATGTATTGTTTGTTGGCTGGTTGGAAAGGTTTACTCAAAATATTGTCATGTTTTAGAGATTGTCGTGTCTCTAATTTCGAAATACCACTCACCTAAGTAATTTTATCAGAAACTATTCATCCATCTTCAGTGTCTATTTTGAGTAGCGCGTTGACTGTATTTTGAACAGAAGAGGTAGAAAAGAGATCGCCTCGCATTGCCGCTGTGCGAATCATCTACGGTTAAGCATCACATTCGTGTATGTTAACCAGAGCCTCTGGTTTTGTTCTCACTGGGTAACTGGCTGTGAATTCAGCACCCGCAGGAATCGAGCTCTGTGGTGCTATTTGGGTATTTCTCGCAACTTCACAGGAAGATCACATGGTCACGTTTGGGGGATGTTATTCGGGTTTATTACTAGGTCTTGCTATACAGATAGGAAACATCATAGAGATTATTTGGTACTGGAAAGTGAGTGATGGGCTTAGAAAAAGATAATTACTTCCTCAGGACAGATGTTTTATAGATGATGCGAATAATTTAAATCTGGATAGAACTGGGACACTGATTGGCAAGCCCTGCGTGGCAGAATAATTCAGTCGCACCTTGTTACCTCCTAGGTGTTTTTAACCGCACCTGGCCCTCGGAACTGTCTTTTAAGATTCGACAAAGAATTTAGTTACTAATTTTAGTCTGAGATGCTTCATCCTTTCCTCTAATATTTTTGTATTTCGTTTCACAGCTATCGCTTACGTGCTGATTGGCAGTGGTCTCTATGATGAAGCAATAAGACATTTTTCGACAATGCTCCAGGTAATTTTTCTTCTTCTGTAATCTCAGGTTTGTAGTCGTGACCAAACATGGACTTGCGCGTGGCTTCGGTGCTGCCTGTGACGCCCGCATGATGGTTATGTGAAGCGAGGAGGCCGGCCCCGGCGGCACCTCCGGAGCCAGCCTCGTGGTCCGCTCTCATTTCAGGCTTCGCGAGATCCGGGGGGGCCAAGCGGTTCGTGATCGTCTCCGCACTGACAGGGTTCAAGTGCAAGTTCAAAAAGACGGGCAGTAGCTTCGGGTTACTTTCCCCTCTGCCGGGATCTCGCCATGACACGTGGGCTCTGGCAGCTCTTGGAATTCCAGACGCCGGCTTTCCAGCAGGAGCCAGTCTCGGGCTGGCCCGGTTCCCCTGGGGGTCTGCTTCCCACCTTAGGGGTGATTACGAGGCCCCTCAACGGAAGTATTGGGCCTTACTGATTGACAGCTGCGTTACAATCTGTAATTACGCCGATGATTCTATCTTTGTTCTCAAACAGTCACTAAGTTGTCACTAAGTCCTCAGACCCAGGCAGCGGTGGTTCGGGCGGTCATGCGGAGTGGTGTCCTTCAGTGGGGCGTGCAGTGTGGAGGATAACTTAGAGCTGGTTTTCACAGTCGCCTTTCTGTGTAGCACTGCGACGTTAGACAGGGTCCGCGGGCACTTTTACACAGGACACCTGACCCCGGTGTGAGAGGGAGGCTCCGATACCTCGCAGGAGCAAAGGTCACTTAACCTACGGTGACCGGCAGCAGAAGACCGTCCGAGCCCCCAGATGTCTTCCCAGTTCATTCGACTTTTTGAGAAATATTGACCATTGTAGTCGAAGGCAACATAACAACGTTAAGGAAGATACTTTAAATAATAAAATATTTCCTAATTCTGCCACTCTACCGTTGTTTGTTTTTATGACCTTTTCTCAAAGTATGCACTTGTGCTTTATAATTTGAATATTTTTTATTACTTCTTCGTGTGATCTGTACCATTTTGCATTGCTTTTTCACTTAATTTTATCCTGGACGTGTTTTTCACGTTTCTCTGAGATCCTGTGATGTCGGTGGCTCCCTGCCGTGCCTTAGGTGCTGTCTGTCCCTGCCGTGGAGCGCATCTCCCCCGTGGTCGTGTTCACAAAGTAGATGGGACTTTCTGTCTTTATGCCAAGAAAAGATACCGCTGTGCCGAAACGTGATTCAGCACCTTATCAGTCTGCGATTCGAGGGGCTGCTGTCCCCGAGGGGCTTTTCCTGTGAGGATGTGGGAATCGTGAGGTGGCTGCTTCGGGCAGCTGGTGGGGGCAGCAGCGAGGTTGGGGGAGCAGCGTAGGTTCAGACCCGGCCGGCCAACGAGAAAACTGAGCGAGCTGACGTGTTTCTGTTTCAGTCTGACCAGGAGGAGCCTGATCTGGTCAGTGCACTTTGTGGCCTGCATGTGAGCATGGAAGGGTCACCTTGCCTCGTTCCTCTGCGACCCGGTTTGGCCAGGGCTGGATAGGCCACTCACTGCTGGCTGGGCTCCGGTGGGGCGCGCGGTGCTGGCTGGGCTCCGGTGGGGCGCGCGGTGCTGTTTGGGCTTCGGCGGGGTGCACGGTGCTGTCTTCCGGTTTGTAGATCCATGAATGGCAGGAGAGGGTTGGCCCCATGTCGAACGGCCAGGAGGCGGCGGTCTAAAGTCTCCCCCAAGGTCAGAGGTCAGTTCGGCCGTGTTTTCTGCTCTGAGAGGGCGGCCTGTGCGCCCTGTGATGAGTGGGGCCTGGACCGGACCCCTAGGAGCTGCCACCGGCCGCGATGGGCACTGGGCCCCAGTGGTCAGCGGGCTCGGAAGCCGAGCTCCTGCCACAGTTATTAAAGGTCGAATGGAAGAATGAAAGCTTTTTCTGTAAGATTTATTTTTATTTGTTATCACATATTGTCCTTTCCCCGGATAGCTGTATCCCTGTATGCTTATTGCCCTTGTTTCTCTGAGAAAGGCGGGAAGGTTATAAGAAGCACATTTTGCTCAGCAAAGGCACCACGGTGTAAAAATGAAGACTTTTCTAAGATTACATAGTCAATTATGAAGGGGCCTAAGATTCAGATCTCTATGTTTTCAGTCTAGAACATTCTACGTAAACTTTTTCCATTTTATATATTAAAAATATTGACATGAAATTATGCTCTGAGGGAGAAATATCACTTCTTTATCTTTTCCAATTTAAAAAATCGTAGTAATTGGGTGCTGGCCGGTTGGAGAGAGTTTACACAACATTCGTACACGTCTGAGGGGACTCGGGTCCAGGAAGGACGGAGGTGCGTGGTTGGGGGGCGGGGGCCTCAGTGAGTGACCAGAGTGGCCCCAGCAGAGGTTGGGGTGAGCCACGTCCTCCTGCCTCTCGTCTCCTCTAATTTCGTGTCTGGACGTGAAATTTGCTTTTGTCTCCAATGCGTTTTTAATGTAAAAGTAACGTGCAGACTTTCAAGAGAACTTGCCTAGACAGACCTCTTCCGGGGCAGGCTCGGGCGTCGGCTCCACGTGACCGGGCCCCTCTGTCCCCCGTCGCCTCTGGTGTCCACACTCCCGTCCCCTGATGTTGAGAAAATGCCCTGCCGTCTCTGGAGCTTGTTCTGTGACGGGCGGTCAGGCCGGCATGCCGAGGGGCGGGCAGACCGGGCGGGGTGACGGCAGCGCACCTCGCGTGACTGGCACGTCTGTCCCACAGAGGCCGAGTTCACGCTTGCGTCTCACTAAGTCCTCCCGTCAGCAACGGCCAGGTGTCCGAGGGAGTCGCTCTGCCCGGTCCCGGGTCCCGCGTCTAGTCAAGGACGTGGAGTGCCGGTCTCGCCTTGCCCGCAGCGGTGCCGTCCAGGGGCAGCCGGACAGCGAGCAGCGAGCGTGGTTCTCCCTCCCTCTGTCCTGGGCTGGCTGAGTCTCAGATCCTCTTCCCCGTTGCTCTGTTGCTGTGGGTTTCAGAGTGGCCTCGTGCCTGCTGTGTTTTCCTCCTAGTGACAGTAACGCTCAGTACCGAGATACGCGTTCCTGACACGTACCGTTGCTGTCGGTGGTCACTGAAAAAGTGTTATATGACACGTGATGTTTATCGTATGGATACATGACAGGATGGTCAGAGCGACGTCGATAGCCTCTAGAAGCAAGTGTGTGCATGTGTGCGTGTGCACGTGTGCGTGCGTGTGCGTGCACGCTTCTGTAAAATCCTCCAAGACATACTTATCCCCGTAGAGACACAGACCGACGCGGAACAGGTGAGGGCGCTGTAACCAGACCTTCGGGACTTCTGGCCCAGCCGGGACAGGGAAAACCCGGCACACCTGTGCGAGGGGCCAAGAGGAGGTGCGTCCCCTGGGGCGGAGGGCGGGGCCTCGCTGCGAGGGGCCGCCAGGTCCCCCGTCCTGGGGCGCAAGGGGAGAAGCGTGTTCAGGTCAGAGAAGGGAACGTGTTGCTGTTTTAAATGACACGTGTTCGTCCTGTTGACACGGAGTGACTCGCTTCCCGGCGCGTTTAACTGTGCACGTCAATGCGCTGAGCCCCGATGAAGCCATCGGTCGCCTCCCGGGCTTAGGGCTTCAAAAATTGCTACTTTTTCCTCTTTTGAGAGAGAAAACTTAGCAAAAGAAACAGGTGTTTCGGTAATCTAAAACTCTCTGTGATGTTTTGCACTCAAAATTATAGTGTCCTAAATTGTAGTTCAGTTTCTTAAAGTGATTTTCGTTTCCCTGGGGATCTGGCTTTCTGAGTGACATCCTTCCTCAGCTGGTGATCTGTGGGGCTCGCGCTGGGACGCGCCGCCCCGAAGCCTCTCTCTCTTGCGGGTGTTACGTTCCGCAGGGCAGGAAACTAGTCGGTGAACCTTGGGGAGCATGACCTGCGTGGTAAGGACCGCCGCCCGGGGCGACCCGCCGGCGGCGCGGACGCTGACCCCGTCCGGGTTTCCTCGCTCTTCTCTGTGCCCTTGGCCTTCAGAACGATCTTCACCTCACGGCGGCTGCACACAGCCGGTTCCTGCATCACGAGAGCTTCCCAGACAGGCGTTTCTTCTCCCATTTTGCGGATCACGACTGATGAGTTGGGACGTGTTGACGCCACAGGGCTCACGAAACACCCGGAACCTTAGAAACTGTCGCTTAGCACTTAGCACCTCAGAGGACGTAGCTAAAGGTCGTGGACGGCTCTGTCCGCGTCCAGCAACTCCTCCAGCGGGTCAGAGTTTTCTCTCAGATTGGTTTTGACCTGCCAGATTTTTATCTGAAAGAGAAATTGTAGGTCGGCGAAGCCATGGTCACATTTCAAGAAAAGCAGCCTCTGTGATAACTCCGAACGTGACGCTGCCACAGGGCAGTTGCCACATGGTGTGATGCGTCAGCCTCCCCCTGGCGGGGCGGACGAGTGGCCGCTCAGCTCGCTGCCCTTGAACCTCGCTGCCCAGCGCGTGGGGTCTCAGGTGCTACTCTGCTGAGGGGGTGGCCGGGCCGCAGTGTCACCGAGGGGTCAGAGCGGTGGCAGTTCCGGGGCTGCCGACTGCACGTCTTCTTCCCTAACTGCGTGTTTGGGTTCGTAGATTCTGTCCCCTCTGGGCCGAATCAGCGAGGCGGTGAGCGACCTCACGAGAGCGATTCAGCTTCAGCCCTCGGCCCGGCTGTACAGACACCGGGGGACCCTGTACTTCATGTCGGAGGTGGGTGCCTGGACACGCTTCCTGCCGCGACCAGAAAGGTCTCCCTCCTCCGCCTCCCCCAGGAAGACTCGGGGTCGGGGCCGGGCACTAAGGGGTTTGTGAGACACGGCAGTCCTAAGAGCGTTTTCTCTGGCTGAAAGGAACCTCTTAAGTACCAAGGACACGTTTTCTTGCCTGGGCCGTCGGCAGTGGCCGAGTAGACAAGGGGGGAGAGAAGCGTGGCTCGGTGGCCGCGCGGGACGCCGGACGCCAGCGTGGGGACACGCTGTGCCCCTTACCGTGCGCCTGTGAGACCTCGGGGTGCCGTTCGCGTTCCTTCGGGAGTCTCCACCCGGGAGCCGTGACCTGAGCCCAGCGGGCCTCCCGGGCCGCGGCTTCTGTCCGTGGGTGACCCAAACCCAACGAGACCCCTTCACCGTGACAGCGGGTTTACCACAGTTAGATTTCGGATTTACGGCGATTTTCGTATCAATTTTCTAATGCAAAAGAAAATATATTTTAAAAATCTCAGCAAAACACATTTTAAGGTTAATCGATGCCATAATTATTTTAGAGGGATTCAGTCTAATGAAATGTTAGTACCAGAAAATAACTTTTAAAGTTTCTCTAACGGATTACGACTTTAACAGTAATTAAAAAATATTGTTTACAGTTGAAACAGTATGCTTAAATTAAGCCTCCGTGAGCTTTTCCCCTCGATTTCCTAAGCAAATCAGCTATTTCGCCGTACAGCGTGTATGATCACGAAACGCTTCCCGTAAAACCAGAAACGGGCAGAGGATGAGCCGGGATGCTTTTCCGTGCCAGCGCAAGTAGGAAATGTGCGAACACGTAACGAACGCTGCTCTCTCTCCCCCACTCTCCTTCCCGTAGGACTACGCGACAGCCCACGAGGACCCCCAGCTGTCCTTGGAGCTGAACAGAAACCAGCCGATAGCTATGCTCTACAAAGGTCTAACTTTCTTCCACAGAGGACTCTTGAAGGTGAACGTGCCGTGCCTTTCGCATTCCGTCGAATGGCCCTGCCTGTACTTTGTGGGCGGGAAAAACTTAGTAGAATTCCGTTTGGCGTGTCTTAAAACGATATCTCGAGTGTATCGAATCGGTTTATTTCAGAAGGTCGTCTGCGTCGGCATATTTGCCGAGCTCCCGTTCGGCCCAAAGGGGCGAGGAGAGAGGCTGGGAAGGGGGCGTCACGCTTTACACTCACCCAGCGTAGTTCCAGAGCTTTCCACACACATATAACTCATCGACGGTAAACACGCTAAAGAGAGTAACGTAAACAAGGTGCTTTGGCAGAGAAGATGAGAAAGATTCATTTAAACCGCAGGTTAGAGACGCTCCGGGGAGCCGGCGGGCTTCGGCTTCGTCTAGGACCTTGAAGGCGGGGGAGGCCTGGCGGGGGAGGAGCCGTGTCTCCGGGAGAGAGGGGGGCGTGAGCGGTGACAGCAGTGTGGCAGATGGCTGGGAGTGGGCATGACGAGGCGGGAGATGGTGGAGGGGACGGTGCCGAGCATTCTGACTTTAATTCTTAGGCCCGGAGGAGCCGTACGGTCTAGATTTGGGAGAATTATCTAATCGAGACGAAACCTGTCATTTCGCAAGTGGGTTCTGGCACGATAATGGCCGAGGGGTTGTGGCTGTACAGGGGGGCTGACGAGGGGACACTGCCGGCCAGAGCCGGGCTTACCTGGGAGGTGGCTCTGCGGTCGCCGGGGCCCACACGACCCCCGCACAGTGTCGTCTCTGAGCGTCGGAGGTCCTCAGTGGACCAGTCCTACCGAAATTATTTGAGGGGAGCAGGGAAGGCGGTGTCTTAGCCGACTCAGGGCGGGGCAGAACTGTCACCTCCAGCCGTCCCTTGCTCCTGCCCTGGGCTCTGCACTCTCTGATCACGTGTCCAGAACCGTTGCAGCAGGCTCATCTCAAGCCAGGAGTGAGCAGGCCAGAAACGCGGCTGAGAGCAGAGCCCGGGTCCCTAGCCCGGGTCCCTCGCCCAGGCCCGTCGGTGCCTGAGGCCTGGCACGCAGCAGGCGCACTGTGCAGGACGCGCCACGGCTGGCCGCAGGGCTGAAAGCAGGCCGTCCCAGGAGGCGGGACGCACGCCATTCTGACCAGCCAGGCTGGCCTCCACAGGGACGCTGGGCCAAGCCGCAGCTGCCCGTGGCAGAGAAGGGGCCCTGCAGAAAGAACACGCGTCGTATCATTCATTGGAAAGGGTTCTGAGGGTGTCCCGCACGCACGTGATCAGCGGGTGGGAACAGGGCTCACGTGTCGTCACCCTTAGCTGCGACACTGCCTGTCACGTGGCAGCTGCCCCACGAGCGTTGGGGGACCAGTCGACTTTGAGGACAGAGCGCTGCGTGTGGAGAGCGCGCGGTGCCATTAACTGCCACGCCGGCGTCCCGGCCGCTCTCAGCCTCGCCGCCCGCGTCCCTCAGGCAGAGGCGGCTCCTCGTGAAGATTAAAAACATGATCAGCGAGAAGCACTTTATAAGCTCTAAACACGGATCAGGTATTGATTATCACAGTTTATTTTGCATGTGAAAATCTAACCTGAGTTTCATAGACTCTAAAAAAATGAACTCCTGTCCACTAAAAGCCAAACCAAGGGGAGGTTTGCCAATTTTGCTCCGTGCCCCTCCGCCCTTCGGCGGGCGCGCGGGCTTCGGGGCGGGCGGGTGTGCCGGCGGCTGCTGCCAGGCCTCCGGCCGTCTGGGGTCTGCCGGCTGTTCCTCTGTCTTTTCTCTGTCACCGTCGGTAAAAAAGCCCCAAATCGCCACAGTCTGCCCCCCAAGCTCTCGGAGGAGAAAAAATTTTGATACGAAAAATGCCAGCTATTAGTATTAAGAGGTTTAAACTGTTTTCTAAAGTAAACAAACGCAGACAGATGATTTTGCTTTCAACCGTGAAGCCAGGTCTAGGCACGTGGGCAGCACCTCTGTGTTATTTCAAAATGAGAATTATTCAGAAAAAAGCTGTAGCGGGGTCACCTCAGGCTGGACGAGGACCGAATTCAGTCTGGTGGATTCCAAATCCCACGACGAGGACCCAGGAACGGCTTCGCTGTCCGGTCGGTAGACCCTCGCTCCTTCCCGTGCTCGTGGACACCGCGTCCGCGTGTGGAACGGGCGGGCACCGTTCCTTTGCATCTTTGTAGATCTGGTCCACGAGGAGGCCAGAGTGTTCACGTGTCTCACACACCCCAGCGGCATCCCCAGGAAGTGGAGAAGGGGCTGAGGGAGTCTCCGTTACACAGATTGGGACACTGAGTGGGTGGCGACGTGCCTTCACAAACTATTAAATGACCAGCCCGTCTGAGCTGTGTTTATCTGCTGCGGGGTCAACGGCAATTTAGAAATTAATTAAGTGGGCGATTGCTCGTTTACTTTGTGATGTAATACGTTAAAATACATTAGGCAATATGACGTGACAGATGTCACAGCTGTCCAGTTCAGTAGCTACATCGCACATCTTGAATCTTCCTAGGGGAAAAACAGCCCAAGATTTCTTCTGTTGAATTCTTTCTGTTTCATGTGTGTTGCAAGGGTATTTCAAACACGGTCCCTCCAAGCACGTGTTTGTCGGCCCCTGCTGGACAGTGGCCCGAGCCCGTGCCGGCTCCGTGAGCGGCCTCAGTGCCCGCCGCCCGCCAGCCGGTCGGGG